CCAGTACGGTACGGTACGATACTTTTCCAAATTTTGATCGTACCGTACTGGTCTCAATAATATTATAGAACCAGTACGGTACGATCAAAATTTGGAGGATCGTACCGATCTGCATGATCGTACTGATCAGCCGAACCGTACCGTACCGGTTTTCCTCCTCCCTTGACTTATTGTGCAATTCCTATTTAGATAATTCTTCCTACTCACGAGCTAATCGACCAATTGAAATTGGCGATCTTACTAAGGAAGAGTCGATAGAATATCTAGTCAACAAGCGCAAAATCAAAGAAGAAGCAGCAAATAGTTTATGAGTTAGTCGGTGGTCGTATTATTGATCTAAAGTCTGTTGCTGACGAATTTCTAGATGGACGTGCATTTAAAGGTAAGAATTAGTTTGAGTTTATGTAATTTTGTTTTGAATTAATTGCATAACTCTTTTTCTGTAGATATTAAACAGTCAATCTTAAGTATTACCGAAAAGAAACTTAAAAGTGCACGAATCGACCCAAAACAAAAATATCATAAAGTAGCGTGCCAAATTATCAATTCTTTATTGACAACCAAAGAGCTTGAATATATGAAATATTTACAAATTTTCGATAATGTTGAGGAAGTTGATGAAATTTTGGAAAAGAATGTGTTTGCATACCATCCGGGAAAAAATATTGTTACATTTTAGTCCCAATCGGTAGAATTATACATTAAGACAAAAGCTGATGATTTTGGTGTTAAGCTAATTGATCTTACCCCTGCTGATGAATATGATGCAACTACTTCCAATCAAGTGGATACTGTTACATTAATAATTATATGTATCGTAAGATATATTGGTTTTATTAATAAGCATTATATTAACATTTATTAATGTGTCTATTATTATTTTCTTCTTTATTTTATTTTCAGTTTATTAGCATTTATTATTAGCGTTTCACTTCTATATATGTTTTATTTCATTAGTATTACTTAATGTTTTATTACTATTATTATTATTATAAGAAATTCAGCTAACAAAATTTAAGTTGGCGCAATAAAGATCATTAGCCATTAATGTTCGCTGGTCATTATTATTCACTGGTCATTAATGTTCGCTGGTCATTATTATTCACTGGCCATTAATGTTCACTGGCCATAATTGTTCACTGGCCATAATTGTCCTGTTAGAAATTTATGTATATAAATGGCAGAATTTCCTTTAATAAAAAAAACACAGTTTTTTAACACAATAAACAAAGAATTAAATACCTGCAATAATAAACAGTTCATCCAATCCTTGAAAAAGTTTGATAAAATCTCTAAAAAATGAATACATCGTTATTCATTATTCCCTTTTACATTTTTATTATAATAAACTCTGACAGATATAATTAATTATCATACCTGATTGTATAGAGCGCCAACATTACAGGCTATACGATATCTATGTTGAATTAAAGTTGAAATTCTGATTATTATATAAAATATTAAATTAGTAAAATGATAAAACATGATACCTTCTGCTTACCTTTAAACTCTGTTTATAACCTATAAATATCAAAGAACTGCTATTAACAATACTAAAATCCAGGAGGAATATCCTTCTATCACTGAAGAGCCTTCACATCAACATCCATCTAATTTAAAATCTCCTAGAGAAAATTATGAAAGTAAGAATCATAGTTCAGTCTCGAGTTAACATCACAATCGCACTAATAACAGATAAAACCAAATGGGAAGAAATTGAGATCAAATAATTCTTTATATATATGAAAGTCAACTCTTTTAATGCTTATTAGAAGGTATTATAACAATCAATATGTATTTTGATAAATAGAATAATGAGTCACAATTTGTCTAGATCTAAAAATAAAAGACTAATAATTCAGAAAATTTTTCTGTATTTAAGAGTATTATAATTAGAGTTGGTAAAAGTCCTAATAGGTTCTAATTAATCTTAAAGAATTTAAAAATAATTTTAATTTATATACTATTAATTAAATTTTTTAATAATAAATTAATCTTTTTAATAATTATTATATATCAATTATTTTATTAATTTAAAATAAAAAAATTCTTTAAAAATAATAAATATACTTAATTTAGGACCTGGTCTTAGGACTTAGATCTTAGGTCTAAAATTTTAAAGATATTTAAATTTTAAAAAGAAATTTAAACTTATTTTAATATGTAACTTTAATTAAAAAATTGAATATAATGATAATATTTAAAAAATTTAATCTTTAAAACTAATAATTTTTTAAAATTAATCAGGACCAATTAGGAACAATTAGGACTTTTACCAACCCAAATTATAAATGGTTACAATAAATGAATAGTTTATCAAAGAAACATTATATACTGTTTTGTAATAGCAGATATAACAAATGAATAGTCTATCTGAGAAATTCTGAATAGCTGAATCTTCTTATTAGGCTAGTTCATTTCTAATCATTTGAATTTTTGATCAAAATAAGCTGATCAAATTAAAATCAGTATACTTAATTCTGATTTTAATCACATATTTGGATTGGTTAACAGATTTTGCAATCAAAAATCTAAATGATCAGAATGATTTGACCTATTATGATGATAAAATTTTATATGAAGACTCTTATTCTAAAGTAGTCATCGTATCCATGAAAAATAATAATAATTTTTGACCTATTAGTTGGTAATAAGATTACAAACTTTACTAATTTTAATAGCATTTAAACTTTTATCAGCAATATTACAGAAGCTTTTTAAGAGTTTATCTGAAATTTTGTTATAAAAAGCTTTATAGGATTCCCTTTGTAAATACTTTTCAATTTTTATTGTTTGAATTAAAGGTTGAAACCGGTTAATTTTTAACTGGATAATTAACTGGTTAAAGATTTTTTTTAACTGACTTATATTAACTCTGGCCAAAATTTAATTTTCAGGCAGAATTAAAATTTTTTTGCAATTACAAAATTTGCCTAGTTTTGTCCAAATTTATAGTGCCAGCCTGAGTTAAATTTAACCGGTTAATTAACTGGTTAAGACGTTTATCTTGTTAACCGGTTAAAGATTTTTTTTAACTGACTTATATTAACTCTAGCCGAAATTTAATTTTCGGGCAGAATTAAAATTTTTTTGCAATTACAAAATTTGCCTAGTTTTGTCCAAATTTATAGTGTCAGCCTGAGTTAAATTTAACTGGTTAATTAACTAGTTAAAGAAATTTTTAACTGGTCATTAACCGGTTAAGGATTTTTGGGCCAGTTCCAACCTCTAGTTTGAATAATATTTAGGTTTCAACTTTGTTTTTATTAAAGTAATTAGCTATTATATTGAAGAAAATTAAATTAATTTATTTACACAATATTTTTATATAATACTAATTATAATTTGATATAAACCAATAATTTTCTTTTTATATGATTTATCATTTAGGTATTATAATAGATTATTAATTCATAACATCTAGCATAATATTAGATATGCTTTATAGCTTAAGTTATATTATTAATCTATAATCATTGCAAAGTATAAAATATAGTTGATTATTCTATATTTATTATATAATTAATATAGAAGAATTACCTTAAGAATTTCTAAATCTACCTTTTCTTATTTTATTTAATGAATATACTTATGAAAAAAAATACTTTCTGAAGGTTAAAAATAAAGAGATATATTAGCTAAGTAAATTAATATATAATAATATTTACAATTTTTAAAATCTACTAAATCAATTGTAACTTTTAATGTTAATGACATAATATCAGAATTATATGAGAGCGTTTTCAGTAAAATCACATTACAGATCATATGATTTACTATGCCTCATGACTTGATTTTACTGGAAACGTTCCCATATGATTTAGAATTATTGTATTTTATTTTAAAGAAAAAAAATAATTTTATTGATGCAAAGAATGTATTGATATTAAATAAGATATTTAAATAGTAACTAAACTATCTAATACTTTAGTCTTTTTCTTTTTTGTAAATGATTTTATATAAGAGATCAAAAAGAACTTTGAATCAAAAAACTCATTTAAAAGGAAGATAACTTTTCTTGATAGCTTTATTTAATAATAAGATGTGTTATTTTCTGATAAATATTTTTTAAATTAAATTCTTTATTCAATAGTATATCTAATGGATTTAAAATTCATAAAACATAAAGTTACTTTCAAAAGTAATGCAACATCTAATATTTTAACTTAAAAAACTTATTAACTTATTATCTATTTATGCTAAAATTGCTAAAATTATGATTTTATATTTATTTTAATTCTTAAATCTTAGGGAATAATTAATAAAAATTTAAAATGCAATTATTAATACTAGTTTGTATAATTTTAACTAATATAAATATTTTTACTTAATGAAATAAGCATTTTGATTTGTTCTTTTTTTTCACATTTTTTTTATTTTATTTTTATTTTTTTATTTTATTATTTTATAATTAGGAAGGTAAGTTAAAAATTTTCTTTTTTTTGCTTATTTGTTCTTTTTCTTTATATAATTTTTTTAAGAATTGAAAGGGTGTGTAAGGCAATCTATTGTTTTTTGCTTATTTGCTTTTTAGTTTAGTTTAATTTAAAAATTAAAGAGCGATTAAATGACTATGATAATGACAATGATAAATCATATATTTTCTTTTTTGAGAATAGGTGTGACAATTTGCTTTTTTGCTTTTAGTTTTTAGTTTTAATTTTTTAATTGGAAGGAAAAACAATATTTTTTTTGATTATTTGATTAATATTATTAAATAAAATCATTATAAAATATAAAAATATAAATTGAATAAATTAAAATATCAAATTTAGACTGAATTTAGGCTAAATTGTATCTAAATTGTATCTGAATTGTATCTGAATTGTATCTGAATTGTGGTTGATTTTAGGTGATTGAATTAGATTAATTTTTGACTGAATTGTATCTGAGTTATAGTTGATTTTAGGTAATTATTTAGACTAAATTATATTTAAATTGTGTACTGAATTGTGCTAGTAAGAATTAAACTAAATTTATTACAATTCAGTCATAATTAGAATTCAGATACAATTTGACCTAAATTTAGGCACAGTTCAAACATCTGATTGTTAGTTGAATTGTATTATTTATCTTTTTATAAAAACATATCTTTGATATCTTTAGATAAATTCTGATCTTTGCCATTTATAATTCTTATTACATTTAAGTGAATTTAATCAGTTAAATAATAAAAATATAAAACTAGATAATGTAACTAAATTTTTTATCAAAATTTATTCATTCCAAAATTTATTTATAGATAATAAAAAAAATTAAAGTTTTCTCCTTTTTTATTGTAAAGAAAAATGCAGATCTTTATTATTTAGATGTCAATCATTTTAATATTAACTCCTTACTATTTTTAAGTGTAATATTACCTTGCATTAGCTTAAATCTACTTTATCTTGATTTTTTATTATGTAAATCAATTTCTATTTATAATTAAAAAATGTAGCCTATACTAAAATTTATTTGAATTTAGTTAAAACTTATTTTTTATTTCTAGGGTAATTTTCTTTCCTTTTATTACAAAGCACCTATTTATTTAATTTTCTTGCAATTTTATTGGTTTAAACTTTTTAAAATATCACATAATCATTAATTTTGATTGGTTAAATTTGATTAGCATATAATTTACCAAAAAAGAGACATTTAAAATTTAAATTAATTAAAATAAATGAAAGTATTTATTAAATAAAACCTATATATTTACGTAAATGAATACTAATAATAGTTTATATAAAGTTAAAGATTGTGATAAAAATAAATATAATTATTGTAATAATTGTTTAGAATTCTATAAAAGATGTTGTCATAATGTAAATCCTATCTCTTTAATGGTTTTTCTTTCAAATTTAGAAGGAATTTTACTTATACTTTAAAGTTAATTTTAAATATATTAAAAATTAGCTATTAAACTAATAAAATTTTTATAATGAAATTTATTTTTTTAAGTAAAATCAAAAAAAAATTTACATTAATTAGTAACTTTTTGTATTAATTTAAGATCAAAGTTTTGAAAATTTTTTAATAAAAGTATTTACTTATAAAACTAAAATTTTTAATTTTATACAGTAAACTCTTGATATAATGAATTCTAGAATCTAGATATCAACTTCGTTATAAGCTTATAACGAATTTTTTAAAGAATTTAATTGGCTAGTTCACTATAGTAAAGGTAATTTTAATATATTTGATTTAAAAATTCGCTATATCAAGGGTTCGCTATATACAGGTTTGACTATATATTTAAATATTATTTATTTATAAAAAAAACATAAAAATTTTGTATATATTTAATATTTTAATTATTAAAAATGAAAAATAATAGATTTATAATAAATTTTATAATGTATTTTAACTAAAATTAAAAAAAATTGTAAGTTTTTATGTAGAATTTAGCATAATAATTGATTGAAAATCATGACTAAATTTGAATGAAAATCATTACCATTTAAGGGATAATAAGTGATGATGATATTAGTAATAGTTATTTTACAGGAATCTATAGATATCAATATATTTCACGACGCAGCCGTGAAAATCATGATATTCATGAAAATTCCCATAAAATAACTGTTTTATATCATGGTTCTGTCATATTGTCATAAATATACAACAACACTAACTTTTTTATCTGTGAATAAACTTTTGATCATCCTTTTTTAGCGTTATCCTTCCTTTTTTTTACAATTTTTTTACTACAATAAACTTTTCAATCATTCATCTTTTTTAGTATTATCCTTTTTTTTACTTAACTTTCCCACTTTACCTTTTTAATTTTTATTTTCCTTCTCTTTCATTTTAACTATGCGTAAAAAAATAGAATTTCTTCTGCAATAAATATCCCTTTTCCAAGTTTTCAAACAGCAGTTAGTTTAATTTCTAATGATCCTATTATCAATATTCAAGATATTGCTTAAGAAAAAGCTTCATATTATCATAAAAAAGCAAAAGTAAAAAAATACTGAAAAATCTACTAAAAGCTGGACTATAAAATTTAAAGAATTTCATAACAATGCAGGTTATTTTGTTCCTTTGACTGAACTTAATAACATATCGCAACTTCAAAAACAAATTGTAAAATTTATCTTTATAATGAAAAAAGAAGATGGCAATGAATATAAAGCAACATCAGTTAAGTAAGCTATTGATGTACTTAATAGACACCTTTTTCATAATTCACATATAATTTGCATGATAAATATATGTTTTCTGATTTACATGATGTTTTACATGACAAATTATGCAATCTGCAAGAATATGGATTTGGCGAAAAATCTGGTTCAATAACTATCAATTCCCAACAAATCTAACAAATTTTACAACATCTTAGAGTTAATTCAAATAATCCTGAAAGCCTCTTGTATTGTATTTTTTTCATTTATCTATAATATTAGCTATGCGTAGAGGTGAACATTATAATCTAAAAATTGATCATTTTAAATCTGATGGATGTAATGGCTTACAAATTTTTCATTATATATCCAAGAATAATCAACATAAAATTCAAGGAGGAGAGGCTCAAATTATTTCAATACCTAGTGATGATAATGGTTCATGTTCAGATATTCAATTTTATTTATCTAAACATCCATCTTCAACTGATGAAAATTTTTATTTACAACCTAATCTATCATGGTCAGAAATTGGCATTTGGTATAGAAAAGCTCATATTAGAAAAAATAGTTTAAGTAAATTTATGCAAAAAATTGGCTATGAAACTCAAATTGATATTCCTATTGGATTACTTTCTAATCATTCTGGATGAAAAATTGCTACACAAATTTTACAAGATCAAGAAATTTCTAAACATGTTATTATGCAACATACTGGTTATAAATGTGTTCAGGGAGTTCGGACTTATAAAAAAATCAATGAAAACCAATAACTTAATATTTTAAATACATTGATTAATATTACAGATACCAAATTATCTTCTGAACAAAATAATTCATTTATTCAAAATAATATCAATATTAATAAAGATCATTTAATGTCACAAACACTCTTTAAGAAATTTCTTTAAATTCAAATCCTTTAGATGAATCACCTATATTTAATAATTGTACTTTTTCGAATGTTTCTTTTTATATCCAAAAATAGGTTATTAAATTTATTTTGTGTATACTATATTTTTAATAATTAAATATGAAAATAATTTTAATATTATTAAATTAACTTTTATGATATTATTTATATGATTGGTCAATTATACCGTGAAAATATCAGTAAAAAAATCACGGAAATTGATTAGGAACCGTGGTATAAATAATAGATTATTTCATGATGAAATGTTAGAAAATGAAAATAAAGAAGAAGAAGAAGAAGAAGAAAACGATTATGAGGTAATAGAAGAAATAATTGGTAGACTTAAAATACTTTAAAATTATAAAAGAAATAATAAAACCTTAACTTTAAAACTTCGGCTCTTTATCTAAGTTCGCTAGGGCAGAGACATCCCCAGATCTTTTTTTACCTAATGTAAAGAAAAGAACAAATGACAATGATGCAAAATCGATCAATAAGTTTTTTGACATCAATGTTACACAATATAAAAAAGATCGACATTTGATTATCACCTCGTGAAAATAATGATTGTCCATTATGCTCCTTTTTTCTTGAACGGTGTAACTTGTCAGTAAGGCTCAAAAGTAGTCTTTAATTAAAATCTTTGGAGCGGAGTTCGGTACAATAAAAAGCACATTATTTTAAGATGACGATCTTTGACGATGCGACATTTTGAATCTGCACGAAAGCCAGCCAGCCTGTTCTTTTTTACAACAATATTTATTACACCGAATATATTGTTGGTCTTTGTGTAATGAGTCAATTCTTTACAATAGTAACTATATTTCACCGTCTTTGGTAAATCTTCCCTATGAGTTATTTTTTACTTTAATGAATATGGGTGAAAATACAATAATTGAATAAAAACATTATTTAAGAAAATCAATGCGTTTGCATTCATATTCGAAAAACCAGATACAATCGCTGTAATTGTTCAAAAGCTCCATAATTACCATATAGTGTAAAATACTGCATGGTTAATATATTCTGTGCACCCTAAAAGTCAATTAATGAATTTTTAAACATTACGATCATTGGATACAAGTGATTTTGTTGTAAAAAGTTTTCGAGATTTTTTTTTTATTCAAATCTAGGCATGGAATGGGTGCGTTCACAGGATTGGATTGCCGATCCATTTTCATTAGATCATAATACAATCTTAATCGAGGGTGAAATTTAATAGTAAAATCCGAATCCTCTAAATCAATATGAATGCGGATCGAAGCTCCAAACCAATTGAATTTGTGAATGCACCTCATTACTTATTTTCTTGATTTTTTGGGCATATTATAATAATAATATAAAAAAAAGTCTATAAAACATCTGAAAAATTTATCAACGATGATTTATTTTCTTAAACTCAAAAACACTAAAACAAATTATGTCTAGTAATAAACGTATTTATTACAACTTTATTACTAATAAAAAATATTACTTATACACTTAAGAATTTGAACTAAAGAAACTTATGCATTTAAATTTAAATGTTATACAGTTACTGCTAAATGTACTTCTCCTACGAAAGTAGAAGTAGAAAGTTTGAATGACCAAGAATTTCGTGAATTTTTGAAATCGAGGAATATTGGAAATGAATATGTTACAAATATCATCGACAAACAAAAGGTCAATGGTAAATCCTTCCTTTCTCTGAATGCGGAAACGCTTGAAAGATGGGAAATACCAGGTGGACCGGCTATAGAAATCGAAAATTTAATCATTGAAATTCAAGGTATTTTCTGGTCGTATTTATTTAATAATAACATATCTTTTGCTTATTGCTCCGCGAAATAGGAGGCAAAAGATCATTTACCGGGAAGGTAAACATTATTGTCGATAATTCGAATTTGCTCGAGCAAGGTCGTGAAACTATGGTAAAAGATAGTGTCAAAATGAAAAGGTTGCGCATAAATTTCGAAGTACTTCAAGCATTGATACTAAATCAACGAGAGTTGGACTGTTCAGAAATATTTTGCTCTTACACTTCCAAAAGCAAAAATCTTGATAAATTTTGGGCGAAACTTGAATATCAAAATTTTGTTGTTCACTCCATTAAACAAAGATCATACACGAAAAGAGAAAAAAAACTAGATACAACATTAGTTGTACGAGGAATGAGAATCTTACTGAGAGAAAGGGCTCCCGGAATATTGGCTATAGTTTCAGGCGATGCTGATTACGTACCATTAATTCATGAAGCTCTGAAGGAAGGGTGGAAAGTTGAATTATGGTTCTGGTCATTAGGTATGAAATATTGCCGTGCTTGAAGTTCAGTGTTTGATGTCATGAATGTGTGTAAATGAATTCATCCTTTAGGATTTGCTGAAGAATATAAAAAAATTGTAAAATTTGAAAAAAGCTTAAGTGTTCACTATCTGGATGATGAATTAAAAGACATTTTATATGACGCAACTAAAAGATCCTTGTAACTTTCCTTTTGAAATCAAGCATTATTATGTTAAATTTTTGGATGATGAAGTCCTGTTGCAATTATTCGCTAGTTTGGATTTATGTTAATACCAAAGAACAGAAAAAAAAAGTAAATGGAGGTGGAATGTAAAGAATGATGTTAGATAATTAATGGCCTAGGCAATTTAATTTTGAAGGCTCTACTTATTTTATTTAGTTTACATGATTTAATTTTTTTTTAATTTTATAGACATTATTTTAGTATACTATATGGGAACGTTGCCAGTAAAAATACAGTCACGAGATATAGTAATCCGTAATGTTGATTTTATTGGCAACGCTCCCATATGGTCGTTTGCTATTAATTCGAATCACGAGTTATATAATAAAGAGAAAAATTTGTAAAATGTTCATAACTTGCTTTTATTATTATAAAAAGTTTTTTTTTTTTGTTTGGTAGATCTTTTGTCACCTGCAAAGTTTTTTAATACCTAGAATCATCAAATTATGCATACTAACAGCCTTCAGAATAGAAATTTCACCAGGAGGCAAATGGAAACACAATTCAGATTTTTTTATGCGGTGCGACTTAAGAATAAAGATGCGCATGTAGATAACTATTGGATATGTAAACAATTGAAGACCGGAGAATAAGAAAAAAAAAATAAAAAAAAATGAAAGAAAAAAGAGAAAAAGCTTTACCGTTAAAATAGGTAAATACTTACTTATTGTGATTTTACATTTCAAGTACCTAATCTTTAATCAATTGATCAATCTACAAATAACTTCCACACCAACCTATTTCTCGTATAAAACAACTATAAAAATATCTATATTAAAATAGGAGTCTTACTACTATTTAGCTAGGCAGCATTGATAGTATCCTTTTAACGTCACTTGTCGAGTTAATTTTTGTGAAAGGAACCGTCCCGTCCATTTTCTTGAAATAATTAATTACTCATAACGATAAGTAATTAATTAATCACAATATTTATTAAACCTACGGAATTTCAGTAACATCTTTCCTTTAATAGCTGCATGGAATCCTAAAAATGGGTTTAGGAATGCTTTCACTTTACAACACAAAAGAAATAATATGATAAACGTTAATAATAACCTCGCTTCGTGTGTAAATAATGAGGAAACGTATTCTGTTATGAAACTTCCCATGCATATGCGCCTTTAATACTGTACGTTCGCTATTTCAGCATAGGGATTGGAATCGTTTCGATATTCAATTCCAGAAAAATCGGTATAGAAAAGCTTCAGAACTTTATAAAAACAATTTTTAAGTATCATTTGTATTATAACTTTATTTATTGAATAATAAAAGCTAAAAGATTTTTAAAAACAAATTAATCAAAAATAACTGTTCACAAGAATTGCTATTACATGATTGTTTATTCAAATTGCTTCACATTGTTAACTATTTTAATATTATTTACTAGTAGAAAATATACATTTACTTTATCTATCGAATTTATGTAGCCAATAATCGGACTAATGAAAATCGATTTAAAGTCGTTATCATTAAACTTGAAGAAGGCATGATTTTCACTAAAAACAACAAAATTTAAATCAAAATTTAATTATATTTTATGCTAATTGTCTCCTCGATACTTTTGTCAGATACTTTACATAGCGCTTTCTTTATCTTTTCTAATTTCACCATAATATTTTCTTATTTACTAACACACGCGTTCATCAATAAGTGTCATTTGAGATTGAGAAACGGGTCACAATTAATATCTCTCTAAATTTATGATTTTTATGCGAAGATAAATGTATATATTACTTTTTTTTTATAATTATTTTTTTAATCAAGTGTAATGAAAATATTAACTTAAAATCCGTAGTTAGGTATTTAATTTTGGATTTACCTAAAATTAACAATTCTATCAAAATTGTTATTTTTAAAAATAACAAACATCTATTTCAATTTATAATTTATAAATAAATAAAAATCAATTTAAAGTACATATAACTTTTATTATTAACTTTATCGATTTATCAATTTAAAATCGTACCTTATTACCTGGATTAAATTGATGCGCACGGGATAACTAAGTTTCACTATAAAGTTTGTCATAATTTTTTACGTCAATGAATCTCATAGGATCCAAAATCTGTTTATGGGATGATACGGTACCTTTTCTATATACCCTATTGTTATGATCTTAATGATATTAATAGCGATTTTGCAGGATCATAAAAAAAAATACTGATCGACGTGATCACAAAATATTACGGTATAATTTGAAAGATCGCAAAATCGTAACAGCTTAACCGTATCGTACTGGTTTTCTCTATAATCGATAATTACTTTGCGAATATTATTATAATAATGGTTTATTAATTCTATAAATAAAAAATATTAGATAGAGTTTTTATTTTTTTTAATTTAGTATCTTTTAAGAATTTTTATATACTTATATTGAATTTGATATTATATCGAAATTATTTTTGATACCATTTAATTAAAATTTAAATTTATTAAAATTATTTCATTAAGGAAAATTAGAAAGTAATATTAGTTTGGTTATAGTTAAACCATAAAATAAAGTAGTAATTTTTATAAATTGGTATTATTTTTAAACTAAAATATGATAATTCATTCTAGTTTCAAGAATCTTCGTGAGCGTGTCAATATTAGAAAGAAAAAATTTGTCATATAATCATTATTTTACAAATTAGGAAAAAGATACAGATTTGTTTGTTATAATTAATAAAGGTAATATAACAAAACATTATATCATACTGCCGAATTCTGGCTTTCTAATAGAATAAATTTGTTTGACAATCAAGCGGTCTGCCATTCAAAGAACAAGAAAACAATCTTATAAAAAGAGTAATAATTGTTGTATAACCAATTCTCATTTAAATCATTTCAAAGATGAATGACATTAAATTTCTCATAATGATACACTTATGCAGTATTATGCGTATTATGCGGGCAATTGAAATCAATGAGCCTAATTTTGCATCAAAAAAGGTTCCATTATCAATTAAACAAATTAAGTAATATTTCTTTGTTCGGTGTTTTCGGACATACAAAATAAGAAAAATGTCAATAGTGTAGAATTGTTTGAAAAATGACGCCAATTTGGACTTTTTTTACAATTTCTATTGATTATACTAAAATTACATTTTATTTAGCCATAAAGGAACGTTCTAAGAATATGATTATTGTATGGAACCGAGATATTTATTATAAATATACGCCTGAAAATTTAATCTTTTTTTTTTTTTTAACAAGTTTAATTTTCTTAAAATCGAAAATCTAAAACCAACCATGACTAGTAGCATTCTCCCTACGGTCAGAGAAGTAAACGAATGGAGTTTCCAAAAACTTGGTAAATTTTTGAAATCGAAAGAAATTAATGATGAAGATATTAAAATTATCATCGACGAACAAAAGGTCGATGGTTCATCCTTTCTTGGGATTACCGCAATATCTCTTGAAAGATGGGGAATTCTAGGTGGACCAGCTTTAAAAATCGAAAAACTGGTCAAAGAAATTCAATGTAAGTAACTTTATTTATCGGTTGCCATTATTTCGTTCTATGTGTCGTATTTACTTAATAACATATCACTTTTGCTTTCATATAGGTGGCACAAAACCATTTACCGAGGATCAGGATGTATCGGTATCCTTTCTTATCGATAATTCAAATTTTCTCAATCAAGGCAAAGATATTTTGAAGCGTGAGGAGAAAACTAACATAAATAATGTGCGCGTTGATTATGATCGATTACGAACTATAATATTAAATGGGAGAAAATTAAGTGGTCCTGCAGAAATATTTTACTCTAGCAAAAACTCTCATTATAAGCTTTGGGAAAAACTTAAAGATCAAGATTTTGAAGTTAAAGCACTTGAAAAAAGAGTGAATACAACATTGGTTGCACGAGGAATGAAATTCATATATACTAAGGATCCCGGAACATTAGTTATAGTAGCAGGTGATAGTGATTACTCACCATTAGTTGAAAACGCTCTGGAAAAAGGGTGGAAAGTTGAAATATGGTACTGGTCATCAGGTATGAAAAATTTTTTGCTGTGTTTGAAGTCATACGAATTGATCTAAAATGAAATCTCGATTCTTTTAGGATTATCTGAAGAATTAAGAATTGGTGATAAATTTGGAAGGAATTATAGTTTTCATAATCTAGATTATGAGTATAAAAAATTTGTATATGCACGTGGACCAGAAGCTCATCGGAAATTTACTCTTGAAATCGAACATGAGTGGGTTAAGGATTTGAGAGATGAAAATTTATTGAGCATTTTCGTTTTGATGGATTTATTTGGGTGGTGGCATTGGACCAAGGATGATCATTTATTGGTTTATGTTAATACGTTAAAACAAAAGGAGGAGGTAGAAAATTGGTTTGAACAAACCAAACAACATTTTGAATTAGCTAAAAAACAATTCGACTCAACTAAAACGCCTAAACAAATTATTGAATCTCTAAGGGGGTTGATTTATGCTTTAGATAATAGATTTAAAAATCCTAGTAGCTATGATTTAGGGCTGTGACTGGAATTTAGACCGGAATTTATATTAGATAATATATTAATTAGATTTATAATTTTTAATAAAACTTTATTTCAACTTGGCTGACTTAACCAAAAAAGAATTCATTTATCAGTCTTAGAACCGGTCTTAAAATCGTTCAATCTAACCCTACAAGACCGTTCCACCGTCTAACGATATATATATCTTTCGTAATTCTCGGGCGATAATCCACCAGATGAATTAACATTTGATAGATGCATTACATGAAATTTCTTGTTTCAAAAATCAAATAAGAACTTTTATATGGAAAGGTTATCAAGAACTTCAGCTTTGTATTTTTTTATAACAAGTTAACAAAACCTAATTTATATCCTGAGCAGATAAAAATATAGATATTATATTACTATATATGTCAGATAGTCAGATAAACATAACATATCTAATACAATTGATTATATAAATTTTATAATTAAATGTTGTACTTTTATGAATAAATGTAGAAGTATGGAAAGCGAGCATTATCAAAAATAATTATTTTTTAATGAATGTAAAAGTACACAATCATAAAATACTAAAAGATCGATTGATTAGAGTCTAATTTCAAAAAAAAAAAAAAAAAAAAAAAAAAAAATTCAGACGTTTATTTGGATGAAAATCTCATATATCTCATATAACCTAATTGTTGTTGTATGACAAATTTCTTGTTACAATATTCTTTTTTGATCAGATCGATTCTATCCATTTTACTTCTATATACCAAATATATTTCAGGCCGAAATATGTTCATTTTAGTATTAACTCGTTTTTTGTTTTTCCGGCAGTCCCCCTTTCTATTTCAAAGGTCCCACATATCAACACAATTTTTTATTTTAATTATATATGCAAAGACTAAAGATAAAAAAATATTTAACTTACTTGATCGAATGCGGCGAAGGTGGGGGGTGTCCAAATAAGAAGTATGTACATCAGGTCGTAAAAACACCCACCCATTCATAAATGTGTATTTTAATGATTCAGAGAAAAAGTACATAGAAATTCCTATGCCAGAAAAAGCAGACCCTTACCAAATTAAACCAAATTCTCGAGCGACTTTTTTAACTATTGTAGAAGGTTTAAGTAGAAATTAAATTACTAAAATCAAATGAATGTATATGCTCAATTCCATTTATCACTTCTTCATTTTTGTCTAATAAAATAGGAACATTTAAAACATTATTACTAACATTAGTCTTGTCAATATGAATTATCATTAAAATAGAAAATAATGGATATATTGATCATCATATTGCTAATCGATTTCCACTGACTGTTTATTCACTTCGTTCATAAACATAAAAATACTACTTTTTTTGCTAATTTTGTTTCCCGAAAATATTCTCCTAATCTAAATCCGGTTAGATCTAGGGGATCGACGATTTTTCCAAAAAAAATCCTGCGCCCTGAGTTCATTATTTATAAGTGGGAGAAGATTTGGTAAGATAAGAAAGTTATTCAAGTAGACTAGTTTATTTATGGAAAATCACAGCAGGAAAAAAATTTAACCGAGGGCTGAGTAAAGAGAAGTTTGCTATTGGTAATTTTTATGCAAGAAAAAAAATAAAAGAACCAATCCAAAAAATGTTGATTCAAAAAAAAAAAAAAATATGGTTTTAAAAAACAATTTAGAAAAATCCCTAAAAGACCTAGAAATGAGAATTAAGGAGTTAGAGCAAAGTAACGAAGGGTTACGTTCACAATTTAAAAATTTAGAAGAAAAGGTTAAAGAGCGAGACGAAGAAACCAGAGACAAACAAGAAACTATAAATAATTTAGAAGAAAAGGTTAGAGAAGAAACCAAAGCTAAGCAAGAAATTATTAATAACTATGAAGAAAAGTTTAGAGAACGAGAAGAAGCATCCAAGGAAAAGCAAGATATTATTAATGAATTAGAAAAGAGAATCAGAAATCTTGAATTAATAATTTATGATGATACTATTGATAGTTTAACCATTACAGATATTAACAAGGACATATTAAACATCACAGGATTGCAAAAATATCGAAACTTAACAACACTCGTATGTCATAGTACTAAAATCACTAGTTTGCCAACTTTACCCAACTCCTTAAAAATACTCTATTGCTGTGATACTCCAATAGCCAGCCTACCAACTTTACCCAACTCCTTAACGACACTCAATTGCTCTAATACCCAATTAACCATCTTACCAACCTTACCCAATTCCTTAACGGAACTCTATTGCTATAATACCCAAATAACCAACCTACCAACTTTACCCAACTCCATAACGGTATTCGGTTGCTCTAGTACTAAAATTACTTGTTTACCAACCTTACCCAGCTCCATAACGAAACTCTATTGCTCTAATACCCAAATAACCATCTTACCAACCTTACCCAACTCCTTAACGGAACTCT